GGCAAGCCCCAGTTCCTGAGATAGTCTGTAACGATGCAATCTTCCCCTCGCTACCATATTTTTCTCCAAACACAACCTTACGTGCTCCTCTGGTATATTCTGGAATGCCTGCCATATTAGTATAGCTATGTCCCGGATCATTCTCAAATAAGTGCTTCTTAGCCTTAGTCACCGCTGGAAAAACATATGACTCTCCCTTCTCTCCTTTGTATACACCTATGGATACATCAATCTTATCTGGCGAAGCATCTTGTGCATACATGGTCATGGTCTCCACGATTGGATCTGGTGCTTCTCTCGTTAAATTCGAAAAGTTACTTTTGATTGTCATTTTCAACTATTTATTGATAACTCTTACGCCAGTGGTATTGCCTTAAAGTATATCTCTAAGAAATGTTATATATATACTTCATTATTATCTGAAACCACAAAGGTTTAGGAAAATAGTTGACTATTTATACGGCTCTCGGTTATAGACGGGATTTTATATGTGATGTCCATCAAAACACGTGATAGGCGATTTATGCTGCCGTATGGTTTTACCGTATGATAGATTGGCAAATTGATTGAATGGAGTCAACCGCTTCATTTGTTTCATGCGAAAGGTTACAGTAAGCGATTGTAGTGGCACATACGAACTTGGAGTTATTTTGGATAACACTAAACTGATTTGGGTTGTTTGCGTTATTTAAATTATTTTGTTCTTCAAGGATTTGTTGTAGTTTCTCTAATAATGTATGGTATGGGGTAATGAAATGCAGATGATACTTATCTGGATCGGAATCATATAATACAGTCGTCATTACGTGGCTGCTTATACTGTGGGTTGCAAGTGTCTTGAAGAAAATACCTAGGGTCTTCAACTTTTCCAGTAGGAATGTAGATGGCACATCGGCGGCTAGCCCTTTTGCACTTACTAGGTTCTCGACCAAAGAGGTAACAAATGGGACATTCTTGTGTTCAAGACTCCCTGTTTCAAGTAGTTTCGTTGCTATGAATGCTTGGGTTAAAATGAGATAAACCTCTTCGAATGCGGCACCTGGATGGTCCACGGGATTAAATAGGATCCAAAGTTCATTGAACTGAAATAAACTTAAATGAGAGCCCTTTTCTTCGATGAATGCAAACAGTATTAACTTTTTCATAAACTTGGCATAAATTCCGAAAACCTCCTTATAGTATTGGCCATTATCTACCACAACCTTGGATGATTTCAATAGACTGTCATAGCTGTCGAAAGAGCCAACGGCAATATCAGTCGACATTAAGTTATTGAATAAATGGAACGCTTGGTATTGAATTACATCGTTAAACTTGATTTTGTAAAAGTTCGCTATGAAAACTTTCAAACCAATTTCACTGTCAATTTTCACTCGTAACCATTCAGACTTCTCTAAACTTGTGATATAATTACCAAGATCTATGGCACAGGCAGACAAAATATAAGGATCCGTTTCAGGATTACGAAAATATTCTAAAGCCATTGAAACATCTACAGAGTTATCATAGTTTGTCATTGATGCAATATTACCACTAGATGAAAATAGCCTTCTCTTATTCAATGTGAAGTTTTGTATTTTTGTGGGAAGTTGAGGAATTAGCTTCAATATATTTGAGTGCATTTCAGTTGACGACAAATGGGGTATATCTTCACATAATGTAATATTGTAGACGATATTAGATAGGTTTGAGAATACTTCGTTAACTGTATCCATTTCGTCTTCATCATCTTCATCTATGTTTAATCGAATCGCAAATTCAAACACTCTTATAATAGTATCAAGATACTCTTTGCAATCATTCGCAAATATCGTATCTGTCGAAGTAGTATCTGACATTTCACTCATCAATTCTGAATATATCTCCGTCGGAATCACTAGCTCATCAAAACCAGTCTCAGCAGCAAGCGAAGAATCAATTCTAAATCTCAAATATCCTAATAAACATTTTCCAATACCTGTTTCACTAAAAAATATAATGAAGCTTTTTAGTAAATTTGTATTGTGTATAAATTGGGACAACATTAGTAGAATTCTCTCATAGATAGTATTTGTATTAGCGTTGAGGGTATCCATGCTAAACAATTTGCATATTAGCGACCAAAAAGTTGCTTTGTAGTCCAAATCAGAAGATGCTAAAAACTGTCTATTGTCATCATTATTGGCTAAAAAATTGATCAAAACCCTAAGAGCCTCAAGAATCAAAGAATCGTTATGAGTACCATCCACTGCCTTGACTATTTGAGATAACTCGACATTAGCTATCTTTATGACTGCTGGAATAGAGTCTTTTGCTTCAGGGCTTGACCTTACTGAATCTTCTCTTAGAAAATCCCCTAATTTTTTTAGCAATTCATTAGTAGAACCATCGGGGGTATCAATACTATTAATTTCTTCCAATAGAAGTGCCAATTCCATATTGCTTTTAGCTCTCGGGACCTTTTCATCGGCTTTTGAGTATCTAGTTCGCCAAAAATGCTAAAATAATATACCCCCTGTATATAATATTGATGAAGAATGGAATATATTGAAGACAAAGAAATATACTTATTGAACTATTAGGATAGGACTTGATATATATGAACTAGTCGATAATCAAGGCAGTAGATATGTACGAATTATATATATTATATGAAACTTTTATTATATTTAAAACTTTTTAAATTCAAATCTACCATGAACTAGTGAACTAAAATCCTAAGGTCTATAATTTATTTTTCGAATACCTTTTCACCACTTCTTAAAGCTAAAATGAATCTGACATCAATGCACAAACTTAAACTATGTAGCATGGGTAACAAATTTAGCAAATCGCGATCACTCTGGTCATTTATCCACCCTTCGATCATTACAGCATTATCCTCATGCAAAGCATAACTTATTGGAGAATTATCTAGGATAATCACATTTTTCAAATCGTCATCACGAGGGAAATACTTAGACAAATCCTTAATGTAGCCAACCCCTGGTCTATATGAACAGTCGGTACGATAGTATCGCTTTGTGAAAACCTGCCGACTAATGCCTTGTTGGCGATCGTGATTGCTTGTCAAATAAGGTGAAATATCATTTTCTAACCAATCTATTATTGGGTCGGCGTATTCTTTAACACTTGCCGTGAAAATTTGTAAATCAAACCATTTGGCAACTTCCTTCAAGAAAAAATCGCAATACGGTCTTTTGTGAACGTAGTATAGAGAGGAGATATTATTGATTTTGATTTCGATTGTATGAGTGGAGCCACCTCTAAATGAACGAGGAGATCCACGCGATAATGAATGGATTAACGTTTCATCCAAGTCTAATACCAATGTTTTTCTGCGCTTCTTACCGGGATTCCGCGAAAGAGGGTATAATCTCTGTGGTGGAGGTATAATGTATTTTGATGAAGATGTAGGCGATTTAATATTATTCGCCATTATATTTTCCTGTTTGAGTAACTCTGTCTTTTCGTTGATGGCTGACGGCATGTCCGACGCCCTGTCATTAGAAATAGATGAATTATTCTCGTTCCTCCCTGAACCAATCAATTCGCTTGATGCCGGTCGTTGTTTAAACAAATGCGTAAATGGGTAAGTAATTAATAACCAAACGAAGATCAATGGCTTCACAAGCAAATAATTGGGCAAGAAGAAAATCACCTGGATAATCAACGCCAAGTATGTAGATCTTGGACTCACGTTCTGGTCCGCAGCCTTCTCCCCTTCATCCCCTGTCTCTCCTCCTTCCTCCGTCTCACTATTCGTTACTTCATTCTCGTATTCGGCCCCAAGCTTGTACTCATTCTTACTGGGGTAGAGTTCATCCAATGAATTTACCAACACCTTGAGGGAATTCATGTCTGATTATGCTTTTATATTTTGTTTGTTTTCTATTGATTCATGCTTCTTTAAACTCACCAATCAATGGTGCATAAACTTTGTCAATTTCAAATTGCTTCAGCTAGAGTGCTTTGGAAAAGCTTCTCAATGTACTATACCGACTTCCCAACCTATATATGTGGCACTTTAAATGATCTCCGATCAATTTCTTTATGTTTCCTATGTAATACTTACAAGACTATTCCTATGTCTCGATATGCTAACGGTGTCACGATATAAATCAAAATATATTTCTAATATTAGATCATCAAATGATATTTAGAAAAATTATAACCGCATGAGGTGTATCAAAATGTCGCAACTAATTCCATGGTCATAAAACGTTGAGCCCGACAAAAATGCATCACCAATATTTGTCACCCCAATCAAAATGACATTTTACGGTCCTACAATGCCTATTATCGAGCCAGTGGATCACTCTGCTCCTTATTCTACTATATTTTTATCGGTTTAAAATTTAAACATGACGCACATGGGTCCTGGGGGGACCATGTGCCTTCTGTCAGTTCTGCAAGTGTATGACTTGTACTTAATAATTATGAATTGAGTATTATGTAAAATATACAATATAGCAGTTGTAATCGTATTTTTATACGGGGTAATCAAGTCATATTCGTGGCATTTCGGAATACGGTCATTTACGTTCTGAGGAACCGTTGATCTTATCTGAGTGAGACTAACGACATTTGATTGCTACTTTATGTAACAATGCTTGCACGTTGCTGGCACGTTGTTAGTACATTATTTAATATGATGTGGTTGTTTCTATTTCAAAGAACTTAGTCTACTTTAATTGAGCACGGAGGGTACAAGATGCCGCCAGGCTGGTGAGATGAACTAGCTAAAGGGTCATTTGAAAAACCAAAATGTCGCGTATACAACTGTTGGGAAAATGCAGCAATTTTTGGTGACAACCCGGACCGGACTCAATTGAAGCTATAGAATTTTGGCAATATTTTTTTTATTTTTGGGGTGATGAGTTTTGGAGACCTTCCGTGCATCGTTAAAACGTTAATTATGAGTGTTCGTATATACCGGAATATTAAGCGTATTCACCATCGTATAGAATACGATCGTTTTGTATACGATCACTTGGTGTAAGATTTGCAAGTTTATAAGGCTAATAGGAGTCACTATGTTCGATGTCAATATTGTCGATATTTACATTGCCTGATTCATTATTGGTGTGTTCGGGTTCGTCCATGGTTGCATCGGAATCTGTATTGGATTTCGAGATATACTTATCTTTAGTAGCGTTATTCACAAAGCCTTGTAGAATGGATGTGATGTACGAGACTTGAGGCTGGCTACTGACTGTAGATGTATTGGAACCCGAGGGAGATAAATTACTAACGATCGAGTTGGTGAGCTTTCTGACTTTGGCAAACATCTCATGGTCGCTTTCGCCATCCAGATCGTCACTATTTTTATTATTATCCCCGTCGTAATCTTCTTCTGCCGGGGTATTACTGGCATGCTCACCAATAAGGAAATTGCTCTGGAGATTGGTCTGTATTAAACGCATGGGGTTCAAGTGGTTATTCGTTTGGTCATCTTCCTCTTCTTCTTGGTTGTCTTCTTCCTCTTTTTCTTCTTCAGGTTTGATCAACTTCTGTTGGTTGGTATTATAACTTTTGCAATATTTACATTTCAATCCAAGAACATGGTAGGGAACATTAGATTTACCTTTGCAGTCATTACAACTGATGATACATCTCCATAGATTATAGGGCAGTGGTAATGGCAGTTGTCGAATTTCCTGGTCCAATATTCTAAATTGGGTCTCTACATTTACAACTGTCTTTTTGCACACAGGGCATTTGTATGAATGTTTACTTAGTTCATCGTAACACGCTTGATGTATCAGATGTCCACATTTCATGAATACGACCTTATTGACAGAAGTGAATAAATATTCGTTGCAAATCGGACAATTGCAATGCGTCGTATTCGTTAAACACTTGTGCCTTTCCCGCAAATCTATCGATAAGCATATGTTACACTCGTCACAATGATAGAAATCTTTTCCCAAACCCAATCCTAGCCGACAAATTCCACATTTGTCACAATGATAAATATCCTTAGTTGGATCATTGTCATATAGCTTACACTTTAGACAAAAGTAATTCGCCAATTCAGCTTCACAAGAAATACAATAGTTACTTTCCGGTATTTGTGGAGTATTACACTTCATACAAAGAATATATCTTACGTCTTTTCTACCCAATTTATGCGATGTTATTTCACTATCGTGGCAAAATCTGCATGGATACCATTTAAAGCAAGTAGGGCATTCAACCTTGCAGTTTCTTTGGTAATGGGAACATCCCATTATTGTATTAAATGGTGCATCATAGTAGGATGGTTCTTGGTCTTTTTCTGTAAGTATCACTGCATCATCGTCGTCCTCAGATACTGTTTCAACCTCTGATTCAGTGCGTCCCTCTTGCGATGTAGATTGTTGTTCATCGGCACGTTCATTATCCTCCATTATCACCTCAGAGATACTCCGTTCTGGCATCAGTGACTCATCTTCGTTCAAGACTAATTGCTGTTTTTTAAGAATCGGTGATAAGGACATATTATTCTTAGCCAAGTTCTCATTGACGTATTTATAATAATTACCCATCATCAATCTCGTAACCAATTTGTTCTTCAGCGTTTGACTTAAGTTATCCAATCCCTGGATCTTCTGAATCTTTTTTCTAAGGAGACTTTCCTGATAGAAATCATCTAGTGACGATAAATCTGTCAAAGCTTTAACTTCGTCAATAGACAATCCTTCCACATTATCCAAATCACTTCCTGTCGCCGTAGCACTGTCTTCATCAGAAAAGTACTTTGCTCCATGAAGATGTCGTTTTCTTCTCTGCTTGTAATTGCTACTATGACTGCCCTCATTGTCTGGCTTCACTATATCACTCACAAACGGCTGATGACGGTTAACAATGGCATCAACCCCGACCGGTTCTGTAGAATTCTGATTCAAGTGGCTCTCCACCTCTCTTTCCCCATCTATATCATAATCATCTTCAAAATCACTAGTGTCCTCTGCCGGTAAAAATATCGTTTCATGAATAATATTAGTCAATGGTTGCAACCTGTCAATAGCGGTTGCCAAAGACAACCCTAAGTCCAAATCATTCAAGAAATTATGCATCTGAATTCTGGTGGAAATCGCAGTCTTCATCGAATTAATCGTCGTTTGTTGGACTTCGGGTGGTGCTTCTATATCTGATGAATTACTCTTGTGTGTGGATATGTATCTTGATATTTCATTGGAAAATTCTTGAACCTTGGGCAAATTTCGTAAATTTCTTATATCAAACGCTGGCAAGTTTGGAAGGTTGTTAATATACGATGACAACGATAAATTCAAGTTCAATGGCATACTCAAATTAAGTCTACCAATCTGATCCAAATCCTCGGTCAATGAATCTACATCCGATTCTGAATCCTGTTCTTCTGATTGCATATCACTTTTAATATTTCCATGTTTACTTGACATGGTTACGTTGCAACCTTTTCTATAGTGTATAAGTAAAGTTGATGAAAAGATCAACTATTATTTCCATTTATCGGTAATATCTGTATCAAAAATTATTTATCGTGAAAAGTGATTTTGTGTCAAATACATTTATCACAACTTTTTTATAAGTCAGAATGCAACATTAAATAATAGTTGACGTTAAGCTAGAAGTATAACAGAAGTAACATGACAGACAAGATCATACCTAGCAGTATCAAGATACCTCCTGTGGAGGTGAAAGAAACGATAGATAAAACTGTTGGTTACGTATTAAAGAATGGCTCATCGTTCGAGGACAGATTAAAAAACAATGAAGGATCAAATGAAAAATTCACCTTCTTAAAGAAGAATGATGCCTACAACGATTACTATCAATGGAAATTAGGCGATTCCAATGATTCTCATGCGCAAGTTTTAGATGTTAAAGTAGTTAATGCTGAAAATGAGACGGTGAAAGCACCTCTGGAACTTCATTTTCTCATGTCGAATCCTCCTATATCATCGTTAGACTTGGACATTATAAAGTTGACTGCTCTTTTTGTAGCTCGGAATGGTAGCAAGTATGTGGAACATTTAATTACGCACCAGACACAACAGTCGAATAAAGCTCAATTTGAGTTTCTTCACGAAAAACATTCATTGCATCTGATATTCCAAAAATATGTTAAACAGTACGAAATGGTCCTAAGTTTGTATAATGACTCTGACGATGAAAAGGCGCAAGAAATCATTAAAAGGCTTTCACACCCCGATGATATATTTGAAACAGCCTATCGAAGGGCACATTATAATAAGCAACATAAAGCTGAAATGCAGAACGAGAAAAAGGTAGAGGAACAGAAAAAATTAGCATATACGTCTATTGATTGGCAGGACTTCGCCATTGTTGGGCAAATAGAATTTGATGCTGTGGATGAGGTTCGGGAGTTAGCGATTCCTTTAAGAAGAGAAGATTTGATTTACAGATCCTTGGAATCGAAGCAGAAGGAATTAGACTTGGCCAAAGCAAAAGCACAACCTAAATACGAGTCCCAGGAAACCACACCAGAAAGGAGCGAAACCGAAGTGACAAAGCATCCAAAGCCTAAGGGTATGAAGATCAGGGCTGCTGGAGAATCGAGATTGAAGAGTAAGTCCAAGCCAAACAGCTCAGCTGTAAGTGATATGGCAGGCCATATAAAATGTCCTATTACCGGAAAGTTTATACGAGAACTGCAATTCGATAATCACCTAAAAGTGCTATTGAGAGACCCGCGTTACAAAGAACAACAAGACAATTTTGTACGTAAAAACTTCACATACTCATCGAATTTAACAACCGACGAGGTGTACGATAATATAAAACGGTTAGCAAGAAAAAGAGAGGGTACGCAAAATGGTGAAGAACCCATTTCCAAGAAATCAAATCAAATTGGCCCTCATTAAAATATTAATTAATACATAAAAATATTGAAATCAATCAGAATTGAACGATATTGTTACTCTGTTTACAGAAATATTACAAATGCATACATTAGTTTATCTTTAGATAACCGATATATTTTATTAAATACACAAAATAAACAAAAATTAGATGTAAACGTATAAAATCAAAAAGAAAATTAAATTACAATTATGTACTAATTTAAGCCTTTAAGGAAGAAGCTCTTCTCTTCTTGATTTCAGCTCTTTCAGCCTTACGTTCGTGTAAACGTTGAGCTAATAATTGAGCGTATTCAGCAGCAGCATCTCTTTGTTGTTGAGCGTTCTTGACCTTTTGAGCCTTTAATGCTCTCTTTCTTTGTAAAGTTTGTGGAGTAACTAAACGTTGAATCTTTGGGGCCTTGGTGTATTTCTTATCGCCCTTGACGACTTCACGTCTGACAACGAATTGTCTGACATCATCTTCCTTGGTTAAACCGAAGAACTTTCTAATGTTGTTAGCTCTCTTTGGACCTAATCTCTTTGGGGTGGTGGTGTCGGTTAAACCTTCAATGTCAGAGTCACCTTGCTTGACAATAGATAAAGCTAAGACAGCTAAATCTTGAGCAACGATACAACCTCTAACGGACTTTCTCTTACGTTCACCGGTTCTTCTTGGTCTGTAACAAGAGTGACCCTTGGCTAATAATAACTTAACTCTGGTTGGGTGCATGACACCTTGTTTCATTGGGAAACCTTGCTTGTCGTTACCACCAGTGATTCTGAAAATGTAACCTTTGAATTCATCACCGACGGAGTCACCTTCGACTTCTTGGCCCATACGCTTTTCGTAGAAAACACGTAATTTGTGTTCGTCTTCAATATCGATACTCTTTTGAGTACCGTTGGCTGGATAAGAAATATTTAACTACTGTTGTTAGTATTTTGCTTCAGCATTCATCTGATCTCCCTCATTATTCTATAATACACCCTCGTCAATTCCACCCCTTCTCTCACTCCCTTCATCATTTTTCAATCTCGCTGTATCTTGTGGGCCCTAATCATCTCATTCAATGAAAATGCGCTGAAAAAATTTTTCCCTTGTGCGTTTGGCCATATTGTCCCACTATTAATGTACTGGCCAACGATATCCCAATCGCCATCATTGTCATCCATATATTATGCTTACTACTATTGGGATTGATATTTATTCTCCATTCAACACATAATCATATTTTCACTCCAACACTGATTTTTCACTTGTTCATTCCATAATCCCTTCTACTCGGTTTAATGTAATATATAAATGGGAACTGATTATTCTGATTACTCTCGACGGTGTATTATAGTATAATATGTGATTATATCATGTAACATACCTTCATCTTGTACTGGTCTACCTATGCCTTCTGAATTAAGAGCTAAAATCTCTGAAAAGTTTTATAAGTCAAAGAAATTGATGATTTTTTCACCTGGTTAGTACTCAGTCGCACAATACTGTATAGTGCCGCAAGAAATTCCTCATAGTTAACATGAAAAATTCGAGTGCGAAATGAGCTAGAAAACATGCGTGTGATGTTCATATTGTGACTTGTTTTTTGATGGTTTGGAATTTCGGGCTGGAGCCCTGATAATGGCTGCAATGCGACTGGTGGTCAGAGGTTGGTTCTACTGACAAGCTGGATGCAGATGAGTGGCAGACGAGTGGCAGATGAGTGGCAGATGAGTGGCAGATGAGTGGTAGCTTAGCGGTAGCTGAGTGGCAGGTTGTCGTGATATTAAGGAGTATGATTCAAGATGTTGATTGAATCTGTAGAGAATCCTGAAGAAAATATCAAGTCTTGTAGATGGTACAGATAAAGATAATATTGTAGAGCTTGTGGGATACTGGGAATAACTGGGTCAACAGAGAGATGCCGAAACTGTTAACTAACTGATGGCTAGACTTAGTTTCAGGTATAAACCACCAAAAATAATACTCAAGACGTCATATCTCGCGAAATCAAATACTCATACATTAGATATTGTCATACTATTATACACTTGGTACTATACAATTGGCTAAGGTTTCAATAGCTTCAGGAATTTTTGCTGCTAGGTCATTTGGCCTTTTTGTCAGAGTTAGGGCCGTTGCTGGGGGTGTTGCTGTAAGGGTTGGTTGTGGTGCTGGGGGTGTTGAACGGACCCATGAACTGAAGGGGAGACGTGATGTTTTCCGTCTTCATCTGTCCCTGTGACAGACCTTGGAACTGCGCTCGGGCACTCGGCTGACCACCGCTTGAAGGAATCATATTCATGAAATACTGGGGCATCGATGTGTTTATGGGTGTCATCCCAGTACCCGAGTTGGACCAGTCCTGCGGCACATAGAAGTTAGAAGGCGATGGGAATAGTTCATTAACGTAGCGCGAAGGTAGGCCCGACACAGGCGATTGTTCACCCCCCTGGTTGGGGTGGTACTGGGTGCCCGATAAGAGCAGTCGCTGCTTTACGTTAGGGTTATTGGTCGACGACGCCATCAGGTTTTGATTCTCATTGTTAGGACCGCTGTGGCTATTCTGTTGATATTGATGCGAGTGCTGGTTCTGGTTCTGGTTCTGGTTCTGGTTCTGATGCTGCCCATATTGTGGGTTGATCACCTGGTTAAGTATGGGGGTCGGTAGTATCGAATTATTTGGATACTGGATCGAGGGTGATGGCTGGGGAAGCGACCCAAAAAATGAAGTCATCCCACTCATCGGTAACGATGGTGCTGTGGCACTCGACGGTGATGACGTTTGCGATTTGCTCTGTATCGGTAATGGTAAGGTGGTTATTGGTTTGTGGTTATCGGGCGATTTAAACGAGCTGAAGCTCGGATACTTATTGATATTTGGTGCCATCGCATGGCTACCAGTGTTGAGACCCTTGTTTGTATTAATACTGTTTGTCTTATTATTGGGCTCGGAAGGCAGGTTGTTCTGATGATTGGTATCGATGGCTGTGATGGTCTTTGCGCTGTCGTTATTGTCGCTGTTCTTCGCGTCAATTGGAATCTGAACCCTCAAAACGGGTCTTTGGCTCACCGAAACGTTCGATGCGGTAGAATTGTCTCGTGTATGCGATGTAGTTCCCTTGTGGATGGTTTCACGATCGTCGATATCGTCGTTAGCTTGTGGATTGCCTGGCGTCTGTCCGTACGCCATACCCGACGTCGATACCCCTGAGAGAGAAATATGCGATGGCGGCGTGGGCCTACGCGAGCTGTATCGCCTCTCACCCTTCCCTCTCTTCCGTCTGTCATCGCCCTCGTCCTTCTTCTGACGCTTGGGCTCAGGGGTCTCGCTGTCGTATTCGGACTCATTTTCGTCCTCAATCGACATCTCATCGTCAATTGGAAACTGTGCTTGGTTCAAATGCCTCTTCTTCTTGTAATTCCCGTAGTTTGCCGGCGACTTCGACTCATGAGGCTTGGTTCCCTGGTACATATCGATCAATTCCTTCGTATCAACAGAGCTGAACTCATATACCTTGTTGTTGTTCCCCACGATGATCACCGCCAAATCCACCTGGCACAACACCGCCAATTCGTGGGCCTTCTTGAAAAGACCCGCTTTCCGCTTGACAAACGTTACCGTCCTATTTCTGTCATCCGTGAGCGGCTGAATCTCAATCTTTCTTCTACCCATCGTATATCAATGTTTATCTGTCAATTAAGTCTCGAATCCTAATCAACGGTCTCTATTCTTGTCCGTCTCAAGCTTAAATCAATTGTTTGCGTCAATTCTTATAAAATTTCTCAAGAAATCAACCGGTTTTGTCGTTTTTATCAATTGACTAATATCCGTCTGTATTACTTATTAATAACTCCTAAAAGCGTCACCTAAATTTTTTTTTCCTAATTAGCCAACTTGAAAGTAATCAATCTTGAACTTTTCACTCGATGATGTGAAGGATACTCCTATTTGATTATATAATACTATATTTAATAGAGTATTGACATAAACTGCTTAAGCTGCAATGGAAGAGCTATTTTTAGTATTTATTATGGATTTTTCCATCACCATTATTCAAGTGCGCGAGTTTTTTTGTACCGAAGGACATGTGCATCGTAATGAGTTTATGGGGGTTATATGGTGCCAAGCAGTTGTTAGTTATACAAGGGGGTCGTAAACGTGCGGTAGATGTGGATGAGGTGTATGTTTGTTAGTGTGGGTGATTTCCGGGTGGTGGTGGAGAGTTATGGTGGCTTCTTACGGAGAGGGCTTTTACTGGCTCGTTTATTTGTACTAGCGAGATAATGCGAAGTAGAGATGAGGTACAGCGGGGTGTGATTAAGATGAAAATACATGGTCAATGTAGAATAACAACAGATAGTAGAGGGTTGGGATGTAGTGTGTAAGAGGGATGGTTTTATTGGTGAGTACGGTGATGGACACAGACGAATGGATAAGAGGTGTATGCGATGCGAGCCGTGTGGGGCGTCGTGTCTTCACATATACGTAGAAGGCACCAGGTAGGGGAATAATAGACGGATGGTGTATGGGGCTATGGGGCTATGGGTTGTATGGGTTGTATGGTTTGGTTGTTTTGGTTGTTTTGGTTGTTTTGGTTGTTTTGGTTGTTTGGCTGTCGTATGGCCGTATGGGCGATTAGTATGCTTAGGACCGAAGATGCGAAGGGGTGCAAAAGGTGTACAGGACCATCATAATAACTCTTATCATCTGACCTGCAAGTATGTGTGAACTTTCAGGGGTTAGAAATAAGTCCAATATTCATGTTCTTGTTCATGTTCACGTTCTTCATGTTCCATGTAGCCGATAACGTCTGTTAGCGCTCCCTACTCATGAGAATTATATGACCGAATCCAAACATCCCCTATAATACATGATATAGTATGGTATAGTATGATATAGTACGATATGGTACGATATAATACGATATAGGATGTATAGTTTGTATTTGTATAATGTGAGTCGATACTTACTCTTCTTGAATATACCAATCAAATTACGAGTTTCTCAGAATTTTGCAATTCGACACAATTATATTCTCTCCTTTCAATATCTTTTTTCATTACATTTCTATCTTATAGTCATCTAACAACACTCCAGAAATCTCCAACAACTCTCCAACAACTCTATACCCAATCAACCATCTCCTCCATAGCTGCAAATAGCCTATGTGGGGGCCAACCGGCATCACGTGCCACAAAAAGAGATTCTGGCGGATCGTCGCAGCGTCCATAATAACACGATACAAGCAAGTATTAGATCATCCCAGCGCTAATACGTATTAATCGGATAATTGATATATATGGTGGTAAGTGTATCTGGTAATCATTGAAGAATCACCGAAACTATTTATATATAATAATCATGGCTCGTAAACAAAATAAAAAGTCTCATTCGACGAATAATTCAGGCCCCGCTGACAAAGTTCCTACATCAACGAATGCCAATGATTCGTCTGGATCGCATATTGAAACTGAAACTTTCCCTGATAAACACCGTCGAACTAGTGTATTGATCACTGGCGGCGACGAGGCTCTCCCACACAATAAACCAGTCGATGATGCTATATCGTCCATGGCCAAAATGTCAGCCAGTTTTACGGACGACAAGATATTGAGAAAGAGCCTGGGGGTGGAAGAAAAAGAAATTGGGGAAAAGTTGAAGATTCTTGAAAAAGAGCCCGAACATGAGCCATCGGAAGTTGTGATTGGAAACGATGACGATGTGAAAGGCGACGTGAAAGACGATGTGAAAGACGATGTAGAAGACGATACAATTGCACCTAATCAATTCGAGGAGGCTATTAAGAAGAATAAATTAGATCCTCAAGATCAGACGGCTGCGGGCAACAACGGACGTGGCCAACCAGATCTTTCACCTAGAACGACCACCGGGATTGTTGAGCCATTGAGCCGTGAAAATAAGGATACAGATGGTCATGATTCTGCTGCAGATGTTAGTGGATTAGCATCCAAAGACGATGATAATAAAAATATGGATCATGATCCGATCACGTTGGTTGGAGACAAGCGCAAAAGCGAATTACAGGAATATATTCCCGAAACAGGAGCAGCCAAAGAAGAAACGGATGATTTCGCTCCAGCCCAGAAAGACTTGACTTCAACAGACAAAGAGGGAAAAGATCAGGCACCAGAATTGTCGGACGCGTCAGAGGCAAAAAATGATAGTTTCCCGTGGGGAGCTGAAACACTGACCGATGCTAACTTACCATGGGAAACGGAAGATACGAACTACAATAAAAGTGCAGCTCCTATGCCCTGGGAACTAGAGTCATATGATGAAGCTTCAAAAAACGATGATAATCTTCCATGGGAATCTCATACAAATGATGCTCCATCTCAAGCGGACGATGATAACCTTCCATGGGAATCTGATACAAACAATGATGCCCACGCATCACAAGAAGACGATGAAAATAAGGAGTCGAATGAATCCACCAATGTAGATGACTTGTTTGGTGGCGGTCACGATAATGACTTCCTAAAGGAGATACAAAAGCAGGAAGAATCAAAGGACAAAGATGAGGTTTTACTCGATTCATCAGAGAATACTCCATCAGCACAACCATCGTCTCAAGGCCAGGATATTTCGCAGGATATGAGAAAGTATTCCACCACACAAACCGACATTTCTCATTGTGCAGAAAAAGATAAACTTGCATTGCAATCTGAAAATGACCCTAAAGGAGAAAACGAGAAAACCGCTGAAAACCTGGATATACATAGACCACAAGAAGCAGATCATTTAGATGAATTATTCCAAGATGACGACCATGATTTCCTTCAAGAAGTAGGATCGTCTGACAAGAAAACTGACCCATTCAAATTTCCTCCAGATAATAGTGCACTTGATAGTAAGGACAGTGAGAAATCTGAGACTCAAAACAAATCTCTTGATTTTTTGGAGATGGACAATGACCTTCTTGATGACGAGTTCTTGGAAGATGATATAACAAGTCAAACTCAGACTCTAAAGTCAAAGTCTAATAAACAAGCATATTCACCGTCGACAACGCGTCCATCAACAACCACAGTTGTACCAACACAGGAGAAGCTTAAGGGCTCGACCGTGAACAAGAAAAAGAATGATGCCTACGATTTCCCAGATAGCTTGATATCTCATAAATTTAAACCTGCTGCAAGATCTACAAATAAATATGCACCTGGTTCTTCAAGTCATAACTCCCCACCAGTTGCCAGCATGCCACCTAAATTACACTCTCCGTCCATGAATGCTGTAGGAAGCATGTCAGTTTCCAATGAAAAGCAAGCTATTTCAACCCAAGGTCTGCAAAAGAAATCATTTTTTGAGGATCTACCAATGCCAATTCAGAAACAACTGGTTAAACCAGCGAGAGCTGCTTTACCCAGGTCTCAAATGAGTCAGAGCATTTCCCCCACAGTGAATCCTGCTCAACCGCAATTACAAAAGCCTGTTGTTAATCCATATGCTAGACCAGCTATGAACACTGTTGTTTCTCCCCCAATGAATTATGCTCAGCCGTCTGGCATGCCCCCAGTTACAAACAATAGAGGGGGTTCACATATACCAGTTGGCATGGTTGCACCACCGCCACCATCACAGATTACAGGTAATAATGTATTGCCTCATGTTCAACCACAAGCATTCCCTAATATGCAAAATCAAAATTTAGGCCAGAATACAAATTCGTATGCTCCATCGCGCAAAATTTCCAACCCATCACCAAATCTCATTAATACGGCTTTACCTAAAGTCCAAGGAGCTCAAAGTGCTACTAGTCCTTACGTTCCGAATGCTGGACCTTATGCTCCAAGTAGCCATAAGAGGACACTGTCGCGAGCAAGCTCTTTAATAGGAGCTAAGAGTAAAGAGGTCAACCCATATGCGCCAGCATCTATCAATGTTCCGAACGCTCAGCAAGGTATATCGCAGGGTATTATGAAGCCGAACACGGCTAGTCCTACTGCTCCTCCTGCTGCTATGAACAATTCTATTCATGGAAGAAGGCGTGGAGTTTCTAATGTAAAGTCAAATTTTTACCACAAAGAACAAACTGCACCAAAGGTAGAAAACCCTAATGCTTTGCTTCAACGTCAATTTCCAATATTTAATTGGAGTAGTTCTAAGAGCGTAGCTTATTTGATACCATCAGCAGTTACGAACACATATAACCGTACTTCGGAATCCGTGAATGTAACTGATATAAAATATGTTTTAAAGGATAGCCATTATTTATCAACTTTTCCAGGTCCATTTAACAAGTTAAAAACCAAGAAGAAGGATGTGGAGAAATGGTTGGAATCATACAATGAATTTTTAATTCAAGACAATACAGGCATGAAGCAAGATGAAGTCCTTGTCTCTCAAATTTTATTAGCACTTGTTAGATTCAATGGTGACTGTAAATCTGATGATTTTACAAAGGCTGCATGTGCTGTTCTCAACCCAAGTGTAGATTATGTTAATGATAATACTCATATGGATATGAATTCAACGTCCGCCTTAGCCAATGCATATAGGTTAGATAACGCAGGCATTAATATCATTTGGAGTTTATTACAAATAGGTAATACAGAAAAAGCCTTGGAATTCTGTTTATCTAAAGGAGACTGGGCTCTTGCATTAATGATAGCTAGTTTTGATGGTCTCGAAAAGTTTGGAAAAGTTGCCTCTGATTATGCAAGGACAAATTTTCCATTCCAGAAATCTCAAAGTAAGGTTCATCATTTAATGCCAATTATGTTGAAATTATTTGCTGGGAATTTCAAGAGTGCAATTGATGATATAACTAATGTACAAACTGAGGGAGAATGGTTTATTCAAAACTGGAGAGAACTTGTTTCGTTGGTAGTAATCAACAAACCTCAACATGGGCATGAATTTTTATGTGAATTTAGTAAGCTTCTAGCATTATCAGGACAAATAATTGCAAGCCAGATTTGTCTTATTTTGGCGGGGCTTCCTTTATCTAGTATTCCATCCCAGACTAATGGCATCTTATTCTCAGTTATTGGTTTTGGAAGCCACTCGTTTGCATATTCAGAAATATACGAGTATGCGATGCAATTAAGTACAACTAATATTCCTCCAACGGGGTTCGCTCATTTACTTCCGCTTAAATTGAAGCATGCGCAAGTGTTGGCTGATTACGGTTTGTTCACAGAGTCCCAAAAATACTGTGACGCTATAAGTAATATTATCAAGGCTACTGGAAGATCGTCATTTTTCAATCCAGTTGCATTTCAAGAATTTCAAAATTTATTAATGAGAATTTCACAGTCCGGTGCAAGTGATCTGGGCTGGTTTGGAAGTAAAAAGTTGAATCTTGATAAAATGTGGGACCAACTTGATAAATTTATTGGGGGTGATGAATCTAAGGCAAAATCTGGTGAAAACGGTACATTCAGCAAATTTAGTCCTGCAGTTTCAAGAGCTCCATCATCGCTAGACATCACGTCTTTGAATAATCACTACCCACAGACTCTGCCACAAGTTCGCCCTGATCACATAAGAGATACTTTGGTAGCCACCAATTCCGCTCCGGGAACTTCGTCTGAGAATTCAATATTGAAGCTGAATGGCATGCCCCATAGCAGACCGCCACCATCACTTTACTCAAATAATAGTACAACTTCTATACAAAAGTATGCTCCATCGTCTTCCCAGGTAACTCCTAAGCCAACCCTTACTCGTAATGATCAACTGTTTTCATCTCAACAAGTTGGTAATCCTGTTTATGAATCTTTGCAGCAATCACGAATGGCACCTAACAATTCGTCATCACAATACCTACCAATGAATCAGGGCCAGAGTGAAAACATCAAGGCTTCTTCGAAATATTCAACTAATCCGCAGAAAGTTTACTCCAATAATAATGGCAGCTTGCCTTATATGAATCCATCAGCACAATTTTCAAGCCTGTCAATAGCATCACACCAGTCGTTACACATGGGAATATCAGGTGTAAATGCTAATCCTTCGACTTCCGTAAAAAGACCATCTATTTCAAATTCTTTTTCTGAAAATCATGTTAATTCAAATCCAATTTCTGGACATAAACATACGTCGTCGCTCCAAAGCGATATAAGCTTGGATTATCCAGCTGAATTCAAGTCAATGCCAAAACCAGCGGGTGATAATTCAATTATTCCAGATGCACACCTGAGTTTGAAGAGGGACAATGAAAATGTGCCTGAAACTATTACTGAGTCGAGGGAATCAGAGAAGTCTTCAGAACTTCGAGATAGTTCTAATTCATTAACTGTGCCACTGGCCATAGATGAAGGTCACTCTACCGTCGAGGACCTGACATTACCACAGGCTCCACCGCCTAAAGGCCATTCTAAACCAAATATTGCATCTTCTAGCGTCGCACCTAAGAAAGCGAGGGCCAGGGCTAATCCATATGCGCCAGGTGCCGCTGCATCTAGAACTGGTGGAAACAATAAGTATGGGCCACAGTCAAGTGACAAATATACTTCAAAGAAAGAAAACACTAGCCTGCTAGTTGACACACCTTCTGATATTTCTTATAATGATATCTTCAACTACGGCGGATACAAAGTTCCTGAAAAATCAGAGGTTAATGATAGTAAAGATCTTGATGATAGGAATGAAGTGAACGAGGCTCCGGACCAAGAAAGTATTGATACCAAGGAAGGGGCTTCAAAAACCAGCTCATATCTTTACCCTGAACCACCTAAAGTTATATCAATGTCACAGTCGAGGAATATTAACGTAGATGAGAGTTTTGATAGCGAAAATATAAACGATCATGACTTTGAGACGAGTAGTCTTAATGCTCCTAACGCAAAGGTTCCCGCTTCAAATAATTTAAACAATTCATTCAGAACAAACGAGAAAGAATCAATGTTTCATCCTTATCAAGAGAGCGAAAATAAATCTAGAAGAACCTCCAATTTTGGAGTGGATAGCAGTTTTGGAGATTTCCCAATACCTGGATCGCCAGACTTGACGACAAGGGCCAATTCTGTTATAGGCGGCCCTGGAGGATTATTTTCGTCTAGATTATCCCAATCCCAACAATCCGCATTATATCAACAATATGAGGTACAAGATGACACTGTCAAAGAATATATACCTGTTGTTGATGAAGAAGATGAGGATTCAGAAGATGAGTCACTGAAGATAGAAAAGCGAAAGAAAGAAGAACAAGAACGCCACGCGAGAATTGAAGCAGATAGAACCAAACAAAGACAAGATGCAGCAGCTTCGCAGAGAAACCAAACTTGGTGGCCCGGTTTCTTAGCAAGGAAGAATGATGATAAGCCAAAGGCCATTAGAGCTAAGTTAGGAGAAAAAAATAAATTTGTTTATGATGAAAAGTTGAAGAGGTGGATTGACAAAAGTATCCCGCTCGAAGAACAATTGAAATCATCTGCTCCTCCACCACCACCAGCAGCTAAGAAAAAGCCAATTGACGGTTCAAGTAGTAGTATAAGTAAGCCATCAAATTCGAGTACACCACTTGGCCCTGCCAAACAAGATATGGTTCCACCAACGTCAAATCCTCTGAATGGTACACCACTGCTAGGGCCATCACAGCCAAGACCATCGCAATCAGGTCCACCACCACCTGCTGGTCCAAGCTTAGCAAATGCAGGATTAGATGATCTTTTATCACTTGGTGGAGGACCATCGTCTGGACGTAAGAGTAAGAAAGGTCCTCGTCGTGGTTATGTCAACTTATTAGATCAAAGTAAATAGTATTTCTACGCAAAAATCAGCTATATCAATATCTTTATTCGTTTAAATATACACTTGTACTAAGTAAGTGTATTAGGAAGGCCATCATTGAAGCGAATAAGTAAGTAGTACTCAGGTTTAACTACCTTATTTCTCAAAACCTTATCTGTTGGGGAATCTATAGTTAACCTGTACCCTAACTTAAAGTACCATTGCAAGGCCCTTGAGTTATCAGTGAAAACAGTTAAGCTTGTCCCACTGTTATTGAAATGACGGTATTCACGCTTTTTTGGTGCTATGGTTTTCAAGTAATGAGAAAATTCATGCAACTTATCAATCATTTGAGAACCAATTTTCTGCGAATGATACTCTCGAGCCACATGTATTTCATATAGATAGAGCACTTTGTACTGGTCACTATAGGATAGCATAAATGAAATAAACCCTATCAAATTGTTATTCGAATCAGTGTACCAAACATAAATCAATCCAGTTTCTTGCATTTCCTTGAGTTTATCGGACTTCCATCCCAATCCGTGGTGCTTTATATAGAATGTTTTCAAGTTGGATTCTACCAACTGCAAACATTCCACTAGGATCTCCTTGCGCATCCTATGAATCGGACCATAATGTAATTGGCAATGTCCTTTAGTCAGAACAATTTGGATTTCGGAAGGAAATATTTCAGGAATGACCGAGGCTACGCTTTCCGAAGTTTCTTTCATAAAGACCTCATCATCCTCGTCAAAGGATGATTCATCACTTACGTCTATTGGATCGTACAGCATGTTAATAGAAGTAGTTGTTCAAGCTATAGTGAAGATCATCAAAAAATTCGCATTGCACTACCATAGTTTTTATACGCGTAGTAAAGCCGTTAAGTAGTAGATGATCTACAGAATGACGTATTTTACTAATAGGACTCATCGACGAATTGCATACTTTAGTATACGATAGCAGTATATATGGATTCTTCACAGCATAATAAAGGGACTTCAAGATCTCAATCAATGTCGTCGAGGAAGCCGTTTAGTTCGCCAATCAAACCATCAGATGCGTCCGCAAGCTACGATATGGATATACTTGAAGACCTACATCAACATCAACAAAATCGTTCACATCGAGTACAGTATCCGTTGTCTTCGCCGATTAAAAATTCCCAGGATCATGAACACCGCCGAAGCAGTCAATACCACCATCCAAATCAACATAGCAGAACCGCGATCATAAATAAGAGAAATAAGCATGACAGATTACGGGAAATTAGAGATAGGCATAGACAGGACAAATTAGGCATGAATCGTGAAAAAATGGTTGACAGACAGGCGTACGAAGATTATAAGTTGGAATTAGAAAAAGAGTCGAACGAGCTTTACGAGGTTCTAGACATCGATAAATTAATCGACCAGGAAAACGAATTGGAATCGCACATAATAGAATGCCTGCCAAGAGACGTATATGAAACCGAATTAGACGCATTCTTGAATGAAGAACAACGTGAACTAGAACAAATGGTGGCCAACATTGATTTATCTGATAATAAGTATGCGAGTACATAATGCAAATATCTATTGTTCTTGAATCCGTGATTCAAAATTCGCATTTCATTGGCTGTCATAATTTGCTTGAAGGGGTAGGTACAGATACTATGCATCTTTGCACATTGTTTGGCCAATTTTGACGGAAAAAAAAACACTTCCCATTTGCTGTAGTGTATTACATAATTTCTAAGCCAGACCGTTGATGTGAACGCATACAGCTGTCATTATAGTTTAAAACCAAACATAGTTGAACAAAGGAAGACAATTATCTTGTCTCTGATTAGCTAGATTCAATAACAACTATCCCCATACTGAAATCATTCTAGAATCTTTGGGTTTTTTAGAAAGTCTGCTATACGAAATGATGATGGATTTATTGATTTGAGAGATAGTAGTTTTGCTGCTCATGTATTTTAAGTGACATATGCAGATACTGCCTATAATTCGGGAGAAAAATTTTAATTACTATATTGGTCTGCCTTATACATGAACCACTGTTATCTGATTATGCTATTTCATTTCTTCAGGAGAAAAGTTCTGCAAAACACGGAAATCTATGCACGGTTGGTTGAATTTGTCAATTTTGGCAATTGTTGACACCTTATTAATCAGTCAGCAAGCACGCAAGGCATGTATAAATTAATTACGTTGGGTACAATGAAAGTATTTAAATAGATAGGTTCTTCTCGATTAAATCTGTTATTCAAAGCTCGGTAAGAACTGAACAATAAAAATCAATGGTTTCTCTTAGATTTTTTTTGGCTGGTACATGCTTCTTTACAGGCGCATTAGCTAGTGGTGAACTTGTATACCACAAGTCAGATATTGCTGTCTTAGTTTGTGAATCAGTAATTGAAAAAGTTGCTTTGTTTTTCGAAGAAACAGATACTGTTGGATTCTGTAATGTTGACAACCAACAGGCATTAGGTACGATGGCACACTGCTTGAAACAAATCCCTCAAACGGAAAGCGTTAAAGCGTTTCTCAAGTCTTGTGAGTCATATGGGTTGACAGAAGAAGATCTTGACTTAGCTTATTCAAATGCAACCAAATATTTAACTAATGTTACTGCTGATCCTAACTTTAACTTGACAGAACTATACTATAAGCCAGCTTTACTTTCGCAGAATAGTATTGACGCTGGTTATCGCTCGGGTATTGGTCGTTTCTATAATTATAATTATGCTACTTGGTTCGGTGTTGCTTTAGTTGCATACTGGTTCGGTGTTATGTTTGTTGCAGGTATTTGCAATTATATCCATTTTCTTTTCCCAGGGGTTGTTCAAGGATTGAAAGGTTCATTTACGAATAGCTTCAGAAAATATATATCGTTGCCTGCATTAGGAAAAAAAGTTCATGCTGAGCATATGTCGTTTTTGAGAATCTTCCAATGGGTTGTTCCAACAAGATTAGAATCAATTTTGATTTTTATATGGTATATCTTAGCTCTTGCTTTCAACGTATGCTTGTACAATCATGATGATCCGAACTTGTACTGGCCGAAATCCGAATCAGCTGAAATTGGTCGTAAAATAGCTGACAGAACGGGTATCATGTCATTGTTTTTGATTCCCACTTTGATTTTGTTTGCTGGTAGAAATAATTTCATGCAATGGATTTCAGGATGGTCATATTCAAGATTTATTGCAATTCACAGATGGGTTTCCCGTGTTGAATTCCTTTTAGTTATGATCCATGCTGTTGGTATGACGTACAATGCTAAAGGTATCAATCCTTTAAAATACGACACCCGTAATGCTGAAGAATATGTTAGATGGGGATATGTTGCTCTTGTGGCATCAAGTATTATGTGCTTTCATTCTTTGTTGGCTTTCAGAAAAAAGAACTACGAATTATTTGTCTTTGCACATATTGTTTTAGCTACTCTCTTTATTATCGGAGGTTGGAGACATGTCGAAGAAGAAGGCTACCAACAGTTCTTTTATGCTGCGGTTGCCATATGGGTATTCGATAGAGTTGTAAGAATTGGACGTCTTGCCGCCTTTGGGGTTCAACTTGCTCATGTTGAATTAAGAGCCAATGAAACACTCAAAGTTACTGTACCTAGACCTGCTTTCTGGAAACCATTTCCAGGTTGTCATGCATTCATTCATTTTTTGAGACCAACCTGCTTCTGGCAATCGCACCCTTTCACTATTGTCGATTCAGCCTTCGAAGAGAATACCATCACTTTTTACTTGAAAGTTAAAGGTGGTGTCACACATGGCTTGTACCAATATTTGGCCAAGCAACCAGACCATAAGGCGCAAATGAAGGTTTTAGTTGAAGGTCCATATGGCCAAAGAATCCCTATTGATAAGTATGATAACGTTGCCTTCCTTGTTAGTGCCAATGGTATTCCGGGTATGTACTACGAAGCTATGGACTTGGCCAGAAGATCCGTCGACAGACAGCGAGTCAGATTCTACTGGGTTATTCGTCATTACAAGTCTATTGATTGGTTCTACGAAGAATTATTTAAGTTCGAAGGCACCATTGTTGAGCCAATCATCTACGTCACGCAAGCTGATGCCGGTTTGGCGGCACAAATTGGCCAAATAAGTGATTCAAACGACTCCAACAAATCTATCGATGAAAAGGACGAAAAAGATGAAAACAACTCGAGTGATAACGAAGTCTCCTGCGACCATGTTCACGACTTGAAGACAAAATTATCTTTCGTCCAGTTCAGAGAAGGCAGACCTCCAATCAACCACTTAATCGAAGAAGAGATCAACGAGGCCAATGGTTCCATTGCTTTTGTTTCCTGTGCTCATGGTTCTATGTGTGACGATATTAGAAAGTCCGTAGCTGACAATCTTAGCACATCCAAGCGGGTTGAGTTATTTGAACAGGTTCAAAACTGGTGATTACACTAGCTGATTTTATAGACTACGCCCAATTAATTACACTAGCTGATTTTATAGACTACTCCCTATTAATTACATAAACATATGTACATATTGTGAACATTCATTGAATAAATGAACTTAATTTGGAATCCTATGGTAATTTGGTAAACTTAGATTAGCGAAAGACTCTACACTGAATAATTAAGTAATCAAGTCATCCTTGCCTTCTATACGTCAATAATTCTTGAAGGGACATGCCATTACTAGTTAAATCAATATTAAAAATAAAACGCGGTCGACCTGAACGCGAAAATGCTACAAAATTTTTTGATTCGCTCAAAGCGAATCTATTTTTGATCTATGTTTAATAACAAATTTTACCGAATTTTTTTGTAGTTTTCTTTGATATTCATTGAATTGATTCCTATTCAATACCACTTTATAGAGATCGACGGACTTTTTAACCACTTTCTTTAACTAACAGAGAAATTCGTTTGATAATTTTAGTGACCCCATACCGATCGATAGAATATCAAGATCACGTCATTCGCTTAAATACTTCAAACATCAACTAGAAGGTGTTACTAAAGATTTGCTAGTATACATAATATCTGGGGAAACTAAAAGGGATTGGGAGAATTTGTGATGAGTATTGTTGATTCAATGTTAGGATCCATTTTGATGGCTGATTCGAAGCTTAATAGGAGAAAAGATGACGATGATTGTGAAAATGATTCGAACGGATCATGCCAGAAACCAGTTAGTGACGATAGTTTAACAATTGGTCTTGCGATTGGTATACCAGTATTCGTTATTCTTTGTGTTTTGTCGTTTTTTCTTTTCAGGAATTACCGTAAAGGTAAGAAGGAGTCTTTAGAACACGATCCAGATTTTGATGAAACAGGAGAGGCTACAATGTTGCCAGACTTTCCTAATCAAAAGCAGTACATGGAAGACCCATTCCACAATAGAAATTCGGTCAGATACCCGGCACAGAATCATATGGCAAAGGAGTCTTCTTCGTCATTGACGCAAACTGTTCAAGCAGATCCATATTTGGATAATTTTGTTTTGCCATATCAACACCAAACTGATTCAAAAGTCTCACTAAATGAGTACGCAAGGCAATTAGGGGAACATCAGGCCTACGGCCATACGCCAAGAGCCTCCACATACATGAATAGAACAAGAAATTCAAGCTTTAGCAATGTTAATGGTTCAGTTGGAGGTGACCATTCAATTTCACCTCAAAAATCAAAGTTAAGGCCTGAAGTATCAAACCAACGAGATAGGAGCCCACTTAGATCTATGGGTAAGGCTACAAACAACGAATACACTAATCTTCCTAATGAATCAACAGCAGAATTTCAAGATGCTGAAGATGGGGATGATACAATTGAGGATCATTCCTCAGACTTAGAATCTGCAAGTAACTCTGAAAGCTCAGCCGTAAGTGGTACTGGTGGGGAAAAATTTGCTGTTAACTATGAAAATGAATCTGAATTGGCTTTGAATGACCCTATAAATCCTCAAAACAATCCTGCGATTATTCCTAACGAAACTACCGGAGAATCTTTTGATTCCGCAAGTGAAGAAGCTGATGTGTTTACTGCCAAATCTGACGACTCCACTTCAGCTCCTGATAGAGATATTGACACTATGGATGCTACAATGGATGCTACAATGGATGCTACAATGGATGATACAGTCGATGAAACAGTCGATGGTATGGCAGTTGAAAATAGAGATGTCGATGGAACCAACAGGGAAATTGATATTGTTGGCGAAGGTGAGTCGAATAATGCTGAAGAAATGGTTTCAAGGGATGCAGTACACTCCCCATTCGAAGATGATAATACCAGACAAATGGCGTCTGCAATTGATGATGAAAAAAATAACGTCGATACTGATATCTCGCAAGAAACCACTAGCCATGAACTTGGTGAATTAAGAAACAGTGCAAATACAACAGATACAACTATTGGTAACCTTGACATTCCATCTGATCCACCACTTAGAAGTAAGTCACCTAGAATGTCTGCCTTTAATTTATTAAAGAACGATAGCGATGATGAAAATGAAGGTGAAGATCAAGAAAAGTTTTTATCACCAGAAGAGGAAGAAGAGTTGAGAAGAATGAAGTCAGTATATAAGGTTTACTTTGATCGTGAAAAATCACAAAATAGTAAACATGGTGATGCTAGAACTCATGAATTTACACCAGATCCAGATTATCCCTTAGGTGATTTACCACATAAAATAGATTATTTAAGGATCAACAAAGATTTGAAAACAGATACAAATTATGATAAGAGATTGACTACCACATCTTCAATTTACAGTGAAACACCAATTTTCTCAAGTGAAGAACAACAATTCTATCATAACCAGCAAGAATTTGTTAGTAATCCTAATATTATATACCAGGCACCACCTCAACAATATCAACAACCACCGCCTGACTTGCCTCCTTTACAGCAATTGCCTCCACCTTCAGATATTCGTAAATCTACCATTCAGACTTACACTGATTATCGTCCAAGAACCAAGAACCAGACAGTACAAAATGGTAGACAACCGTTTGTTCCAATCGAAAACGATCAAGTGTGGACATCACCGATTGCATCACCTTCGATGCAATCTCAGTCATCATTTGGTCAATCACAGCAATCATTGCCATCTATGAATGGTAGTCTTGCTGCTGCCCACTCAGTTCCATCTGCAACTCAACTATCAAGGTCTTCGGTCGTTATGTTAAATCCAGTCACTGAAATTACTAAACAAAGAAAATTCAGACCTGCGGGTTCATTGCCGGGTACAAACGGTTCTTCATTAACAAACCGGTCTATCCAAAACCAGCAATTCTTGAATGCCAATAATGGGATTAACAACTCTGAAAGTGAATTAATTCCTGGTAATAGGAAGAGTGCGGTTAGAAGGATGATGAATACTAATTTCTAGTTATTCTTTAATAGCATCGCTCCATAATATTCATGTTCATTTCTTTAATGTTTTCATCACGAATCTAGTTATGCCATATAGCGTGAAAATACAATTACATAGTTTTCTCATTTTGCTTTTATTAACTAATATACAATGTCACTTTCAAAAGTGCTACATGCTAAATACCGTATTCAAGCCAAGTCATAATCATCAATCTTATTCTTGTACTTGAGAACGTTTCTTTTGATCTTCGACGAATCAACCCAGGTCAAGTAATCTTCTAAGTTTCTGGTTACAAGATAAGCTGGATCGGTAATCACATTAGGCCCCACCCTTACGTGGCCCTGCTCAACAAACGTAACAGCATCGCTGACTGTCTCTGCCATCTTGAGACGACACATAACCACTGGTATTCTTCTACGGCAAAATGCACTGACAGTCACTTTGTTTTCCAAGTCGGATATTTTGGATTTGGTGGCAAGTACTCCCATAGAATACAATTTTTCCAACAACAATTGCTCGTGTTTTATTCTGTATGGATCAGTAGGTTGTAATAATGATAATTTATGTGCTAGTTTTCTGATTTCACCACAAATCTTGTTGTATTTATGGTAGTCTTCTCTATTTTGAATATGGTATGTTCTCATAACTTGGGTATCTCTGTGGCCCTGATCCTGCTTCCAATCAAGGAAATCCACCTTCTTCAAGAGCTTCTGTTCATGATGCTTTAACTGTCTAACCATTGCTTTATGTACCTTTAGTAGTGTTTGACCTTAATGTATATAGTTCTTAGCTAGTTGAAAAATTATTTATGGAGATGAGTCCAGGCACGTGATGGATTTCCAGAATTTTTTTTGTGTAAGATTCTATAATTTTTCACTTCATTTGACGAAGTAGTAGGTTCAGCATTGAAGTGGATCTTAAGACTCGTTGGCAAGTTCATATCTAGGACCAAGAAATTGCATAAACAAACTAGACGCCAACATGTTCTCTAGAATACCAAGACTTGGCTTGAATGCTACTCGTCCATTCTCAAGCAGTACGTTGTTATTATCGAACATCGGTAAACAACCAATCAATATAACTGAAGCAATCCAATGCTACACTGAACAAATACCTTTCGAATTCTGCAAGTCTTTTACCAAAGGTAAAACTACCGTGTCATTGAATAAACAAATTGTTGTCAAAGGCCCTAAAGGGGTATTGAAGACCGCAGTTCCAGAGTTCGTCCAGGTGAAAAGTGAAAATAATATTATTACCGTAAGTGTTGAAAACCCGGAAGATAAGATCCAGAGAACCATATGGGGTACCTCGAGGGCCTTGGTGCAGAATAACATCATTGGGGCTACTGAAGGACATTTGGCTATTGTCAAATTTGTTGGTACCGGTTACAGGGCTACTATTGAAACGGCCGAAGATGGTTCCAAAGTGATTGCACTCAAGATTGGTTACCCATACACGCCAAAATTGAAGGTCCCCGAAGCATTGACTGTGTCGTCCCCTAATCCTGCAAGGCTTTTAATCGAAGGCTCCGACAAGCAACAAGTCAAATTATTTGCAGCTAGAATCAGAGAACACAAGAAGCCTGAGCCATACAAGGGTAAGGGTATTTTTGTTGATGGTGAAACCATCAAGTTAAAGGAAAAGAAGATTAAATGATTGATTGAAACGCTCCAATCATACGTAATGATGCTTAATCTTGCTATTAAGGCTCATAAGGTACTATTGTGATTCTAGAACAGGGATTTTTACTATCACATCAATATTGGTCCACCTGTTGCAATATTCCATTCACATCTTGTATATAATGCTACATATATGCTACTGTCTATATATTATTCTATAGATCTAATAGTAAAATCATGGTTACACAAAACACAAAACATGCCAAAATTTTTCTTGTCAATTATACACGACCTTTCATATAATTTTCACTCAGAGACTATGAAAACAGTATATACGATCTTAGTTCCACTCAAAGTGTCCAATTAAGTACTTTTATTAGACTCTAAATACCATGAATAATAGCATATGGTCTTTGGCGCGTAAAGGGTTATCCTTTACCTCCAAGCCACTCATATTTTCCCGTAATGCTGCTCAACTTACATCGATTCATGCTATAACATCAATGAGAACCCAGGAATCAACCGTCAACCACTCTTTGGAAATAGCCAACATGAGAAAGAGGTTGTTAGCGAGACCAGGATTATTGGGAGTGAAAAGAGGAATGATAACATGGTACACTGATGATGGAAAGCAATTTGGAGCTACCGTTATAGAAATCGACAATTGTGAAGTTATCGAGAATAAAACCGTAGATACACACGGTTACACCTCAGTTTTACTTGGACAATGTGATAAGTTGAAGAATATTACTGATAAGAACTTGAGAAAGTTTCAAGAAGCTGGTGTTTCTCCAAAAAAGCATATTGGTGAGTTCAGAATTAGAGATGAAAGTGGGTTGATTCCAGTCGGAACTGAACTTACAGCTGATTACTTTGCTGTAGGCCAATTAGTGGATGTGAAAGCCATTACCAAGGGTAAAGGATTTGCTGGTGTTATGAAAAGACACGGGTTCAAGGGTTTAAAAGCAACACATGGTGTCTCCAAGGCCCACAGATCTGCTGGTTCCATGGGTGCTACTCAAACACCCGGTAGAGTTTTACCCGGTAAGAAGATGGCAGGACGTATGGGTGGTAAAAGCTGCACTGTTTTTAATAATGAAGTGTTGCATGCCGATGCTGAAGCCGGAATTATAGTTCTTAAGGGACAGATCCCAGGTCCTAACAGAAGCTTTGTCAGAATTAGCGATGCCCAAAAGCTTTACAGTAAGTCCTTAATGTGTATGAAATAGACTATCGGTCTAAACTCTGTATATATATTATTCATTCATATAAATAATTATTTAAATCATGAGGTCTACTGTAGATAGGTTAGACAGTAATATCCTGTAGGAAGACATGCGCTTATGCAAATTGCTAGCACTCTATGTATATTAGAATTCACTAATAACTTTTTGTAGAATTACAAAAAGCTCATGCCGTATGGTCATACTACATACAATGGAAGTTTTCAATATCAACATTCGTCAGATACATTAGATTAACTCAAATCTAATTCCTTTACACCATAAACTTATTATTTCAATACTTTGATCTCAAAGTAGTGAATTAAAAAGTAGATAGGTAAAATATCAATATACTAGAATAAATCTTAATATAAAGAAAATGGTTCCAAAAAATAGTGAAAACACCAGTAATGAAGACAATTCCCGGATGGTTCTGGTAAAAGGCAAGAACCATGTACGATTTTGAAATTGATCTTCTGGTGATAAGGAAAAGAAAAAAGAACTACGAGAATATTCACCTATACCATTTTAATTTATAGACATCTCTTTAAAGCCGGGTAACCATAAATTATCTAGACTTCCAAATTTAGTAAGAACTTCAAAACATACCTTGGAGAGCAATATATACAAGGCATTTATTTTTTTTTTTCAGATTTTATGTCTATATAACAGTAAGTTCTAATATATTAAATAAGTCAGTTTATTTAGATCTGGTCAAAATTGAGTTTGTTAAGAATTCTAAAGCACTTCTTGCGTCCGATTCAGGCAAAACCCTCAAATTTTCCAATGCCTTATAACAATAATCTTGAGCCATTTCTCTTGTTTTCTCTAAACCACCGCATTCCTCAACAGCTTGTCTTGCCACCTCAACATCACCTTCTTCGCTGAATTTTCTTGCAATTAATTCACCCAATTCTGGTCTTTCTTTCCATGCAAATAATATTGGTGCAGTTGCTAATCCCAACTTCAAGTCGGCTTGACTTGGCTTACCGAAACTGGTGTTACTGGAAGTGTAGTCCAACATATCATCCACAATTTGGAAGCATAAACCTAAATTACGGCCAAAGTCGTAACAGTTTTCGATTATGTTGTCTTGCGAACCACTTAAAACACCGGCGGCTCTTGACAGCTTCGACATCAAGGAGGCGGTTTTTAAATAAGTCTTGTGCAAATAGTACTCAAAAGCAGCACTTACGTTGGTATTATGATCCACTTCTCCTGGTGCTGTAACTGAATATTCATGTTCAACGGTTGGAACTTTACCGGTTGCTTTTGGAATATTCTTAGTATCACCATCATTTGTTATTGAATCAGCGTCTTCGTTACTCATAACTGTGTTCTTCAACTGCATGAATTCACCTTCAACTAGATTTGCTATGGTTGTGGATAATAATTCAATGACTTCCGGGTTTCTCAATCTTGCAATAGCAACAGAAGCTCTTCCTAATAAGAAATCACCCGCTAAAACAGCCATTTTATTACTGAATGCAATGTTGCCACTTGGTCTACCACGTCTCGTGTCGGATAAGTCAATGACATCGTCATGTAACAAGGATGCTGTGTGGATCATTTCCACAATTTCGGCGAGACGTCGTTGTTTTGGTAATATACCGTTCAAAGCATCAAACTCAGGCAACTCGTCCATCGGCTTCGACAACGGATCCAAGATAACCTTGGGGTTAATTCCGTGCAATATTGTTAATGGAGAAATTGATTCGTCCACTGATTTTCCAGCGATAGAATTATGTAACGGAGTCCCAGCAAAATGAGGTTGCGTAGTAACATCGCTGCTATCTATCGTTATTCTATTTCTTTCTTCTATTGGGATATTCAGTAAAGCCTTGGATAATAGTAACACTATTAATGGCCTCACGTTTTTTCCATCCGCCTCGAAGTAATACGATGACACTCTATTCAACGTAGGATGGCCAGAACCAATCAAGTTGGCAATCAGTTTAGCCAAATTAGACATTTCATGACTCACAATAGAAAAAGGGTCACTGAAAGTGTTATCATTCTTAGGTTGAACTAATTTTTCAGCAGTTTCAATGGCAGTTTGAAACGTATTTATTTGTTGTGACTGACCCGAAGAATGAAATCTTAGCGATATTATAGGCCTCGGATTTAAAAACCTTTTAAGTATTGGACTCATGTTGTTCAATACTACGGTTCATGAACAAATAAATTCACAATATATTGTCCAATACATAGTCCAAACAATTTTTTGTGAGCTTTGCTCTTGTTGCAAGGCTAAATTCCCTAACGCACGACTTTTTTATTATTACTGTATTGATATATATTTATGATTTAGTTTACTAAATGGTATATATAGGTAGCTCATATATCGATATAGCCAATCTGATCACTGATAGTCTTTTCTTTGTTGAGGATGTAAATATCTCAAAAAAACGTCGGGTGGGGTGAGGGTTCCTAAACATCTACAAGCATGAAGATTCATAAATGTCAAGCCAAACACATAACTTGCGTTAACCCAGCCAAACCCTTCCATGGCAACCCCCTTGAAATCTAAACCTTGATTACCATATTCTGCATCAACTTTGTGAGGAATCGCACCCTTGGTGACGTTATATTTCTCTACAACAACACCATTATAATCAACGAATGCTTGAGTCATTAGATATAACCAACGATAAGCTAATCTACGAGCAACACCTTCGTAGCCGTAGTTGCACAATCCGATCCATGCTAGAATCTGCTGCGGGGCCCATCCATAGGGATAGTCCCATTGTCTTGATGGTCTGTGTAAATTGATACCACCTCGCGACTTCAAAGTACCAGCAGCAAGCCCACCAAATTCTTCTAGTTTCAGAGTCGAATTCTTAACTAGCTTATCTGCTTGTTCCGCAGAAGCTACTTGAGACCATAACGGCCAAAATGTGGTTGCAGATTCGTAACCAGTTTGTTTTTTTGCTTTAATATTATAGTCATAGAAAATCGAGTCTTCCTCATTCCACAAGTACTTACTAACTCTTTCCTTTCGCAAATTAGCCTTTTTTCTCCATTTCTCTGCTGTTTCAATTTCGCCAGTGTCCCTATTTTCCAATTTTCCATCGCAGAATGACTCGATAACGAAGGCGATATCAGCTTCATACTTGTACAACAAAGAATTCAAATCCACTGTAGCTAAATGGGCACACTTACCTTCTAACCTGTAAGATGTATCGTGTCCGGATTCTCTTACGGCTCTGTCGTGTAAGAAGTACTCGTCTAATTCTGGTTCCTTAATGTTTCCATTATTGTATTCTTCAATAAACTCAGCCTGGCAAATACCATGTTTCTTGATGTAAGGATCTAAAATTGCATTGAAATGACTAGCCTCAGTCTCCGGAGGTATACCACTCCCCACTGGATGATAACAAGATAATCCTGTTTCTTTGTCTAACCTTGGCTCTGCAAACCAAACGTTATTGTATTCTGTAATGGCTGCCGCAATGGCTCTTCTCATGAAATCCAAAGACTCTTCTAGTCTTTCTGGAGCTACTTCCATGGTTTTATTGAAAACCCTCAAGGCCATATCAGTCAAGAAGGGAGGCTGGGACCTAGTTAAATAATAGGATCTGTTAGCATTCAATATTTTACCGTAATGATGAATTTCATAAATGAAATTCTCTGTCATTCCTCTAGCCAATTTTAAATGTTCTTGATCATCAACAGTGACATCAACCAATAAACCAATGGTTTCCATATAAGAATCCCATCCATATAATTCATTAAATCTTCCTCCTGGGACGACATATGGCTGATTGATTAGGTTGGTTGGATCATTTGGATCAGGAGCAGCACTAAGAGCCAACAAACCTGGCCTTTTATTAATCGATTTCACATAGTCGGCATCGATATTCTTAGGCAAATATTGGACATCAAGAGTAATATCCGGGTTTGCTTCTTTTATACTATTGAAATAATCAAATTGATCCTTTCTGTTATAAGGAATGTATATTCTATGACTCTCCTTATTATGTTGAATTTGACCATTTTCGTCAGTTACTTCTTCCTCAATCTTAGTATCCTTAGACATTTCCATTATATTATCTCTGGTTAACAATCTTGTCAATGATTTCCAGAATTGAGTCGTAATAAGACGCCTCATACGGTAAACTGGATTTTCATTCAATCTGTTCTCGTCCAAAATCATTTGGTCTCTACCAAGTCTCTTAGCTATTGTAAGTTCCTGTAACAAATTGGACAACATGTATGTACCCCTAATTGGTGCCTGACGATACCCATTTGAGTTGGCCGTACCTAATTTAATAACTTTGGGCCCATTATCTTCAATAGTAATTTGAAAGTTGTGGTCGGTATCTTCATTCTTCAAGAGCTCCTTAAGGGTAAGGTCAATATCGTTGATAAAGAATTTTCTTGGTTTGAGGAATGAATCATCCATCGAGGCTCTCCTATAATGCAAGCGTTTAGGATTCGGTTTCGTTGATGCGTTGAAATCTTCCACCGAATCCAGCGAAATGTCGTCATAAATTGGCACTATAGAATTTCTGTTTCCTCCCCTAGGATTATGTGTTGAGGGAATTTCATCCACTTTCTTTCCCGTCAGTGGTGCAACGCCAGATGACGACTTGAAATCATCCCATTTGCATTCGACTTCTGGAGTTGGTGAATCTGAAAATGGACTCGTTTCCTTGTCAGGCTGTTCGGTAACATCCGAGTTGGTATAACCAGGGTTGTAATCATCAAAAAACTGCGACCTTTTTGGTTCAAAGACGGAAAATGTTCTAACCTTCCCTAATTTCGAATTCTTGCCAGCACCAACAGGGTTCGTCTTGGGACCGTAATAATTCTCTGGTGTATCGTAAGGATTTTCATCTTCACTCGAAGATGAAACTTTTCTCGAGTGGAATGGATTATTCATTATTGATGTGAATGATTCGTACCTATTTTATTCTTTATACAACGTTCTTCCTTATCAATACTCCTACGATTACTTATAGAAGAGAAGCCCTTGCTTCGGTCCTGCATATAATTTTGATGTTGAACGACGACCCTATTCCAGAAGAAGGTGTCGCTTCTGTCAATCGTGTTAAAAACGGTCCGCTAGATTTGTCGCTATATCTCGATGATCTACCCAATTAGAATTGGCTCTAAAACCCAATTACTGGTTATTTACTCCTCTTTCTCGCTTAGATCTATCTCTACGAAGATTTTTCCGCCGAAAGACCACGGAAAATCCCTGAACTGTTTGTCGTTTGTTCAAGGCAATTGAATAGGTCTCTGTACCTTTGTGGCGTCTCGTTGACCGTTCTGTCCATCCAAGCTCGAAGCTAATCAGTACAATCCCTAACTACAGAGCAAACGGTTATGTCGTATGTCGCGGGATATAAACAAATGTCGGCTTTATGTAGTCTTACGTCATTTGTCGGATGTCGTATATAATCCGAGATTCCACGACATCCATGTCGCACGTCACATGTCATATAGCAATCTTACCTCGGCTGGGCTAAGCGCCTTTCAGCTGTACTACCCCGGTTGTTCTCGTTATAGAACCCTACCCGGCTGTTTTGTTGGGAGACTTCCTCTTACCCGGAGCTTATAGGGAGATAAGTTAGGCGGTTGAATCCTACCCCATAAATCATTAATTCCAACATGTGTACGTATATAAATAACCCTTATTCGCAGTGAATTTTTCAATTGATCCCTTCTAATACAATTATATAAATACAATTGCTAATTAAGTAAATTAAGGTTTATATTTTCAATTGATACTTCTAAAATAGATTATAAAAGACACAATGGTTAAAGTTACAGTTTGCGGTGCTGCCGGTGGTATTGGTCAACCATTATCATTATTATTAAAGTTAAACCCAAAGATCGATGAATTGTCATTGTTCGATGTTGTCAATGTTCCAGGTGTCGGAGCTGATTTATCTCACATTTGCTCCAATTCATCCACATCTTCTCACTTACCATCTTCCAGGGAAGACAAAACAGCATTGGCTGAATCCTTGAAAGGTAGTGACTTAGTTATCATCCCAGCTGGTGTCCCAAGAAAGCCAGGTATGACTAGAGATGATTTATTCAACATCAATGCCTCTATTGTTAGAGACTTGGCCCAAGGAATTGCTGAAAACGCACCAAAGGCCTTCGTTTTGATCATTTCTAACCCAGTTAACTCCACTGTTCCAATTGTTGCTGAAACCTTGAAGAAGAACGGTGTTTTCAACCCACAAAGATTATTCGGTGTCACCACTTTGGATATCGTCAGAGCCAACACTTTCATCTCCCAAAAGTACGCTAAGGAAACTAAGGCCACTGACTTCAACATCAACGTCATTGGTGGTCACTCCGGTGAAACCATTGTTCCATTGTACTCTATCGGTAACTCCAAATCGTATTACGACAAGTTATCAGAAGAAGACAAGAAGGCTTTGATTAACAGAGTCCAATTCGGTGGTGATGAAGTCGTCAAGGCCAAGGACGGTGCTGGTTCCGCCACTTTATCCATGGCTTATGCCGGTTACAAGTTAGCCGAATCCATCTTGAAGGCATTGACCTCCAAGGGCGAAGAAGTTGTCGAATGTACTTTCTTGAATTTGGACGACTCCATCAAAGGTGCCGCTGAAGCCAAGAAGTTGGTTAAGAACTTGGATTTCTTCTCCTTGCCAGTCAGATTAGGTGCTAACGGTATCGAAGAAGTCAAGTACGACATCTTAAACAACATCAGTGCTGATGAAAAGAAATTATTAGAAGTTGCCATTGAACAATTGTCTGGTAACATCGACAAGGGTGTTGCATTCATCAAGAAATAGATATATAACTCCTTCTATATATGCACCACAATATTTATTTCGAACCGATTTTCCGACTTTCTTGTAGATTCCCGTGTAAACTGTTGATCTCCATGCACATGTCAGCCAAATACTCCGGGTTTGTGTTGGAATATTGAAAACGCCCAGTGGCGTTTCTTATCTCTTCTTTTGCAGACATAATCGAGTAATGCCCTCAATAGTCATACCTGAGATCCGTTAGCTTCTCCGGCTGGCTCGGTGAGAAGAAGCTATACCTGAATAGCTGCAACCGACTGCCTCTAGCAATGAGACTAAACAACATAAACTGATAGAGCAAATATTTAACTATACATCATACATACTTAATATGCATCTCCTAACAATAATACGGTAACAATTAACGAAACAACAGTAATATATGCTTCCATCTAGTTGATTTGCAACTACTGGTTGTACCATAGCATGGAACCATAGAGCCTTTTTCCGGGTTTGTGTTATTTCCGGTCATTACACAAAAATGTCTTACAGGTTTGAATTTTACTCAACGCAAAACAAACAGGAAGGATTCCTTATTAAGCAAATAGAGGTTGTCATAAAACTTGTGTTGATTGAAATTGGTAAGTAAGTATCAATTGAAGATAAACATATCAGCTGGTTTAATTGATTATAAATTCTTGAATAGAAAATTTTTTTACTTCAGCAACTAACATTTCTTAAGTAAGCGATATAATTTTTTCGATAGTTGGATCTAACTTTCTCTTTTCAGACTGAAGGAAAGAAAGATATACATTAAATTCAAGGTAATATTGAAGATTATAGAAAGTACGACACATTAAGGATACTCGGATAAAATGGAAACAATTCTTGACTTTTCGAAGGATCTTGATATCAATTTATTCGATCAAGTAGTCGGGACTTTCTACAAAGGCTCAGGAACTGAGCAAAAGGAAGCCCAAAGCGTTTTAAGTCAATTTCAAGAAAACGCAGAATCTTGGACACGGGCGGATAAAATTTTGTCCAATTCAAACAATGCCCAGTCGAAGTACATTGCGTTGTCATGTTTAAACAAATTGATTCAATATCGCTGGAAGACCATTCCGGAAGATGAGAGGATTGGCATCAGAAATTTCATCGTTAATATGATCATCTCTCTCTGTGACAATGAGACGATATTTGAGACCGAGAGGGCATTAATCAACAAAATTGATTTGACGCTAGTTCAAATTTTGAAACAAGAATGGCCTCATAATTGGCCACAATTTATACCAGAAATCGTATTGAGTTCGAGGTCCAGTTTCAATGTTTGTGAAAATAATATGATTATTTTGAAATTATTGAGTGAAGAGGTTTTTGATTTCAGTCAGGATCAATTAACACAAGCAAAAGCAAAATCATTGAGATTGAGTATGAGAGCAGAGTTTGAAGAAATTTTCAAATTATGCTACGAAGTATTAGATAAGACTACCAAGTCTTCCTTAATAATTTCCACGTTGAATGCATTATTAAAATACATTCCATGGATTCCAGTTAATTATATTTTTCAAACTGATTTGTTAAAATTATTGACCGGAAAGTTTTTAAATCCTGTTGATACCAGAACCATCACATTGAAATGTCTTACTGAGGTCTCCAACTTGAATTCCCCAGAGTTAGAAGAAAAATTTATAATTTTCTTCAAGGACACTATGGAACAAATTTATTCTATAATCCCTCCAGATACCAATTTGAAACAGTCCTACAAAATTGCTAGTACGAACGACCAATCTTTTTTGCAAGATTTGGCAATGTTCATATGCACATTTTTAAACAACCATTTATTGCCTTTAGAACAAAATGAATCCTTGAGAGAGTTATTGTTGACATCAATGCATTATCTTGTTGAGTTATCTAGAATTGAAGAACGAGAATTATTTAAAACTTGTTTGGATTTCTGGTGCAACTTCGTTCACGGCTTATTTGAAGAAATTCAAAAATTACCTCAAAACGAATTATCGCCATTAATGCAATTAAGCTATTCCAGCTCAATAAAAGCTACGTCTGGTGGAGCTCCAGACCCTGCTGTATTAGCAAAATTCCCATTAAGAGAGCATATGTACACGACAATTTTATCTAAATTAAGATTGGTTATGATTGAGTCTATGGTTAGACCTGAAGAAGTTTTAATTGTTGAGAACGACGAAGGGGAAATCGTCAGAGAGTTCGTAAAGGAGAGTGATACCATTCAATTATATAAATCCATGAGAGAAGTCTTGGTTTATTTAACTCATTTGGATGTTGTTGATACTGAGCAAATTATGAGTGAAAAATTGGCCAGACAAATCGATGAATCTGAATGGTCGTGGCAAAATATTAACACTTTGTGTTGGGCCATTGGTTCAATTTCGGGTACCATGAATGAGGATATGGAGAAGCGTTTCTTGGTGTCCGTTATTAAGGATTTATTGTCATTGACTGAAATGAAAAGAGGCAAGGATAACAAAGCTGTTGTTGCATCAAATATTATGTATATTGTTGGACAATATCCTAGGTTTTTAAAGGCGCATTGGAAGTTCTTGAAAACAGTGGTTAATAAATTGTTTGAGTTCATGCATGAAACTCACGAAGGTGTTCAAGATATGGCTTGTGATACCTTTATTAAAATTACACATAAATGTAAGAAGCATTTTGTGGCTGTTCAACAGCAAGAAAGAGAGCCGTTCATTAACGAGATCATTAGAAACATTCAACAAATCACTGAAGATTTACAGCCACAACAAGTTCATACATTTTATGAAGCATGTGGTATAATAGTAAGCGCGCAGACATCAAAAGATGCAAGAGATAAATTATTAAGTGAATTAATGGCTTTACCGAATATGGCTTGGAGCGCAATTGTTCAACAAGCTGGAAAGGACCCAGAATTATTGACCAATACAGAAACTGTTAAAATTATCGCCAACATTATTAAAACTAACGTCTCCGTTTGTAAAGCATTGGGACCTGGTTTCTATTCACAATTGGGATTAATGTATGTTGATATGTTATCATTATACAAAGCTGTCAGTACGATGATCTCTGATTTTGTTGCCAAGGATGGTTTGATAGCTACTAAAACTCCAAAGGTTAGAGGTTTGAGAACAATTAAGAA